CCCACACACACACACATGTGCATCCTAACCTTACATTGCACTCAATGGTACAATATTTAAGTACTACACAAATATTTTGGTTCCACTTTCTGCCCTGTTTTCATACTTCTCTGTCAGTAACCCAAGTCAGATGTACACAACTACCACACACCAGTAGTGTTAAGGTTTCTCAGGGTTTTGCAACATTATCCATTAATATATCAGGTCATATATTTGTTGTCTTTTTGTTAAACTGACACAAACTGCACTACTTGAATGATGTGTGTGGTACGCAGAATGGATACATTTACTTCAACTATTTAGCATGAAACCATTATTACGCTGAGATCAGACCAAGGCACGGCATCCAACCCTCACCATCTTTATTCCATATTTCCTATCTTTAGGCCACACCAATTTAATTTGTTGATTCTCGGATTTGCCTCTTCATTTTTTTCTGATTTACCAAAAAAAAAAAAAGATTCTGGTTCTGAATCAACTCAAATATGCTCATATTTTGCCACAAGCAGTATAGGAAAGTCCTTTTCATCCTATTTGTTACAGTTTCAGTTCAAAATTCAATGTTTAAATATTAACATAGCCTTTTGTGCTGACTTCATGGCTCCTAGCGTAGCATGATTTGAGACTATAATAGGATGCCTAGACCTGTTTTTATTTTGACTTTTTTTTCGCCCTGTTGCTTCATATTTTTTCTGAAAAAATCTGAGAACCAACAAATTAAATTGGTGTGGCCTTATTGCAGTGAATAATTATGAGCTACCCAATACTTGAAGTTTAGTTGTGTATTTTAGTTGAATACCTCCTTTTAACTGGCAACCTCATGCTATGCCTGCCTAACAGGCATACTGTACCCCTGTGTAATCTGTAACACCAAATATTTAAGTGGGCTAAGTCAAGTGTATGTGTAATTGTCTCTACAGCAGGATTCTTGTATCTTCAGTTACTACCTTCAGTTTTTCTGTGAATATCTGGAACACGAGTTGATGTCCTCCTATGGGAGTGTTCTATGTATCATATTAAACAAACCAGTTTTGTAAGTGAAGAAAAAACAGTGTTGTTTGTTTTCGTTGTGGTGGTCTTTCTTTATACTTTTAAGAAAATTAAAATTGGGAATAACAGATACCAGGTTAGTATTAGAGAGCCCTTAAAGTGGCAGAATTCCGTTGATCTTTGTTTCATTTACATAAGAGATCTTCATAGACTTCCAAAAAGGGCCAGTGGCACTACATGTACGTAGGTTCACTCATAAAAATGGTACAGAAGACTTTTAAGACAGTAATGCCATAAGTGTGTTTGACTGCAGAATGTAGACATGAAAACCATGTACATTTGTACAATACGCTGGGATAAAAGGTGCCATTTTCGGTAGCCTCCTGTGCAGGCCCCTCGACGGGTGGGAAAGAGTTTTTAACGCGTTATTTTAATAGCCGGCCATCCTACAACCAGCCACCGGGAGAAGGTTCCATACCAGAGAAGGTTTCATACCTTCTCCCGGTGGCTGGTTGTAGGATGACCGGCTATTAAAATAACGCGTTAAAACTCTTTCCCACCCGCCGCGGGGCCTGCACAGGCTACATTTTCGGGTCTAAACCATGCGGGACGTACCAGCAGTGCGGACGCTGTCCTTGGTACTGAAGTTAGGTGAAGGTAAGATTTGAGGTTTACATCTGAACATCAAGTCTGTGTGGACGCATGTAAAAGTCGTAGTAAGAAAACTACCTGGTGTGTTGGTCTGCATGCCTACGTGTTGACACTGAATCATTGTATCAGAACTATCGCTGTCCTTGGTACTGAAGTGAGGTGAAGGTATTTAAAGATCGAGGTGTGCATCTGAAACATCAAGTCTGTGTGGACGCATGTGAAAGTC